AAGAGCTGAGGGACAGCGCCCAGGCCCAGAGTTCAGGCCCCACGACTGGACCCCCCCACCCCCCCCCAAAAAAAAAACCCAGCTATTTTTACCCTCCTTAAGAGAAATCAAATGCTTACTAAATGTGTTGTCTATATTAGGAAAGATAGTATATGAACAAAGAAGGCAACTATTAGAATAGTTATACTTACATTCAATTTAATTAAGTCCCCTTAATAATATTAAAATTCAAATGAGTACATATGCTATTTTACTGCCCTATCAAAGTTTCTCTAAGTTTTTAGTTAGCTCCATTATACGTGAAGCTTGCCTAAAAACATCTTAGATCAGTCAACTAACACTGTTCATTTCAGCACTATCTTTCTCCCTTCTTTTGATTCCTTTCTCATCTCTTCCTAGTGAGAATTACCAAATTACTACTATTTATATATTTTTATATATTATACATACCAAAGTACTAATATTTATATATTTACTTAGTACTAGTATTTATAATAAACCAATTCTCAGTATATAACAGAAGTTATCAACAAATCTATTAGAAAACTGAGGGCTGGGGACTCAATGGAAGAAAGTATGCTTAGTCACATGTGAGGCCCTATGAGAGATCCTCAACATCTCTCCCATCGCCAAAGAAGAATAGTTTACAGAGATTTTGCACACATACACACATACACACTCTTTACAGGAGAAATACCTGAACCCGAAAACAGGGTTTTAGGAAAGGATAAATGACATAAAATCAATAAACCTCAGTCGGGAGCTGGTAGCTCACGCCTATAATCCTAGCTACTCAGAAATCTGAGACTGAGATCACAGTTCAAACCAGTCTGGGCAGGAAAATCTTTGAGACCGTTAGGTCCAATAAACTACCAAAAAGTCGAAAGTGGTGCTGTAGCTTAAGTGGTAGAGTGCTATCCTTGAGCAAAAAAGCTCAGGGACAGTGTCCAGGCCTTGAGTTCAATCCCCAGGAGACACATTCTCATATTCTCTCTCTCTCTCTCTCATACACACATACTCATACTCTCACACACACTTTGTCACACACACACACACACACACACACACACAAATAAACCTCTAGCTGAACATATAGAGTAAAACAACAAAAAAATTACCAATTTCAGAAATGGAAAATGGAATAGCACCATACACAGTATACTTTTTCTCCCAGTGCTAGGCATGGAATCTATAAAATGGAATAGTACTTGAGGGACAAAAAAAAAGAATCAAGTTTAAATAAGATAATGTAATATTAATTGGTTAACATTTCCAGTAATAAGGTCTATGAACATCATATACCCCCACCCTCCTCATCCCTCATTTCATGCTGAGAACAGTAATTACTTGTGCTGTATTCTTCCCAAACATGCATAATTCTTCAACCTATCAATATGAAAATAACAGACAAACCCAAGTGGTACCAAAAGTACCTAATAAGCACTCTTTAAAAAAGAATCAAGGCATGAAGGACCAGGATATATTTAGAAACTATATATTACAGATTAGAGGAAATTAAGAAGGAATGACAACAAATGCAATGTGGGATTCTGGATTAGATCCTGAAATCAAAAAAGGACATCAGTGGAAAACTGATAAAAACAGGATAAAGCCTGTAGTTCAATTAGTGGTAGTGTAGGAACATCAGTTTTTATAATTGTACTATGGTCAAGCAACAAATTAGGAGAGGAAAGGTGAACTTTCCATATTAGCTTTTAGCAATTCTATAGGCCTAACATTATTTCAAATTTAAAGAGTTTTAATGGTAAGAATGATAAGAAGGAACTGTTTTACTGACAGACACAACAACATGAAGGAACCACAAAGCATTATGCCAAGCAAAAGAAGCCAAACACTATAAAGAATATGTACTATATGGTTCCATTCATATTTAGTTCTGCAAAAAGGAAAATTAATCTGAGGTGACACAAATTCATAGAGCAAAGTCCTAGGATGGGAGGAAATAACTGACTTCTCAAAGCAATAGAGAAGCCAGGCACTGGTGCCTCACACCTGTAATCCTACCTACTCAGGAGGCTGAGATCTGAGGATTGTGGTTCAAAGCCAGTCTGGGCAGGAACATCCATGACACTCTCATCTCCAATAAACCACCAATAAACAGTAAGTGGTGCTGTGGCTCAAGTGGTAGAGCGCTAGCCTTGAGCTGAAGAGCTCTGGGACAGCACCCAAGCCCAGAGTTCAAGCCCTATAACCAACAACAACAACAAAAAGCAATAAAGGAACATTTTAGGAGTAAAGAAAATTTTCTCCATCTCAAATGTGGTAGGTACACAAATGGATGCAGTTTGCAAAATTCAATCTGTCTACTTACAATGCATGTGTTTTACTATATTAATTCATTCCTCAACAAAGCTGATTTTTTTAAGTTGGCTGCATATTTAATATTGGGCAAAATAAGATACTATAATTGGTTCTTAAATGCACTGAAACTTAATTTAAGTGCTCTATCTACAGCTCTATCTACAGCTCTATCTACAGCTCTATCTACAGCTCTATCTACAGTTTAAATTTTAGTTCACCATTTTTTGGGGGGTGGCATTGAACTCAGGGCCTCGTGCTTATTAGGCAGGTACTCTTGAACCATGCCCCCAGCCCTTTTCTTGCTTTTAATTATTTGTGGGATAAGGGTCTCACATTTTCGTTGAGGCCAGCAGGCTGGTCCATGATCCTATTTGTGTTACCTGATATATATATATAGTATTATTTATCATTATTATTATTATTATTTTGGTTGGTCATAGGGCTTGAACTCTGGGCCTGAGAGCTGTCCCTGAGCTATTCAGCTCAAGGCTAGTGCTCTACCACTTGAGCCACAGTGCCACTTTCAGTTTTCTGGTGGTTAACTTAGAGATAAAAGTCTCATAGACTTACTTGCCTGGGCTGGCTTTGAACTGCAATCCTCAGATCTCAGCCTCCTGAGTAGCCAGGATTACAAGTGTGAGCCACCAGCACCTGGCTGTACCTGATCATTTTCTATTTACACTTCTTGCATAGCTAGGCTGACAGTCATGTACTGCCATACCCAGGCTCTACTAAGTTTGAGATGGGACCTTACTGTTTCTATATATCTGAGTCTTTAACTGTTAGAATTACAGGAATGAACCACCATGCCTGGCCCTTTGGTTTGGTTTTTAAAAAGCTAAATGTATCAGTATGTAGGAGAAATAAGAAGAAGCATTATAAGTCAGGCACTGGTGGCTCAGAAAAACCGCAAGTGGTACTGTGGCTCAAGTGGTAAGGTGCTAGACTTGAGCTGAAGAACTGAGGGACAGCGACCAGGCCCAGAGTTCAAGTCCCATGAGCAACCAAAAAAAAAAAAAAAGGTAGCAGCAGCATTATAAAAAGTAATGAAATGAAGCAATTATGTTTTCACTAAAGTTTAAAAACTAAGATTCACAGACTTTCAATTAAAAGGCTGCATTACTGTGGAAGAATACATAATTATGTCAATGCTTACTAACAAAATGTGTCAAGCACATAATAATAGATTTTTAACATATATATACTTAACACTTGCAGTATAATGACATCTTAATATTTAAACTTCTTTTTTTGTATGTGTAGTACTGGGAAATGATCAGTGTAATTTTTTTCTGCTTTGGCTGGTATCTCCCTTATTTTCAAATTATCTTGCCACCTTCTTGCCCAGAAAGCTAGAATTACTTTTTCAATGCAAAGGATTAAACCCAAGGCCTTTGCATGCACTAGGCAAGCATTCTATCACTTTGTCAAGTGCCTACCACAAAAGCCAGCTTTTTTTTTTTTTTGGGAGGGGGGTCGGTAGTAGGACTTGAACTCTAGGCCTGGGCACTGTTCCTGAGCTATTCAGCTCAAGGCTAAGCACTCTACCACTTCAGCCACAGCATCACTTCCAGTTTTCTGGTGGTTTATTGGAGATAAGAGTATCGACTTTCCTGACCAGGCTGGCTTTGAACCATGATCCTCAGATATCAGCCTCCTGAGTAGCTAGGATTATAGGCGTGAGCCACCGACACCCGGCTTTTAAACAAAAGCATCTACATCTACGTGGCAAGTAACCATATATATACACTTTTTGTACATTTACAGCATTCATTTATATTTGTAGCCCAAAGTGAACATCAAATTGAGATTTTATTATTTTAAGATGGAAGTTGGTTTTCTAATTATAAAAATGGTTATAAAAGTAGTTCCTAAGGTAAGTGAATTTATATTTTCAAGTTTTATGTATTTTTGGACCATTTAAGATTGAGTGCCATAGCTGGACTCAACTGTGTGAACACACATGTACACGTAATTTGTATTCTTACTCCCTGAAATAACACTTTTACCACACTGCAAATATTTTACTTCAGTTCTGAAGAAATGTTATAGTTACTAATACCACTGATTATGGAGGAAAAGAACACAATGTTGATGTTTAAGGGTTATGTAATAATGAACAAAGCTAACAGCTCTAATTTTTAAAAAGCCTCCTGCATATTTGTATGTAATCAAATCAACAGAAAATGAGCACAATTTCCATTTGTGTTAAGAATAACTTGTCAGGGGTATGAGAGTATAGTTTAGTGGTAGAGTGCTTGTCTAACATGTGTAAGGCCTTATGTTCAATCCCTAGCACCACAAACCAAAAATAATGTTAAAAATCTTAACAACAATGGGAAGACTAGTGGTAGAAAATTTCATCTCTGCAGTATAGCTTAACAAAATAAAAGCCAAAAATGTCCAAATGCATACATTATTGTACAATTTTACCAAATAGTTTCTTACCAAGAACTTTAAAATAATTTAGGACCCTATCTGTGCAAGCTGATGAACCACCCTCAAAGTTATCAGAAAGTATCAATATTCACAAATCTCAATGAACACAGTTGGACCATAAGAGCTTTTAGAGCTAAATTAATTAATTAAATCAACAAGTGTTTATTCAATTGCTTACTGTAGCCCACCGCATTATATCAAGAACAGTAATCATTAAGTAATCAGAAATTGTTACTCACCAGCAAGGGTATAATCCATATCAAAACCAAAACATTTTATTTTTTCCATGGCTAAACTTCGGTTCACAAACACCCTATGGAAAAAGAAAAAAATGGTATCTCAATTAGCATTGGAAAAGAAATTCTCAAGTTTACTGAAGCTATATTGGCTACTTTTCAAGATCTCATTTATTTATTTCCCCAACTGATTTATATATATATATAAAAGTATTTAACATACTTAGTATGCTTGATATACTTTGATATGCTTAATATACTTGATATACTTTTTTTTTCTTTTCATAGTTATTGGGGTTAAAACTTAAGAGTCTCACACTTGCTAAGCAGTCAGTGTACCTCTTAAGCACCATCTCCAGTTTCATAGTTCCACATAGTTTCATGTTTTTGCCCAGGCCAGTGTGACTTTGATCTTCCTACTTATGCCTCCTTCATAGCTGTATTCACCAACACACCTGAGTTATTGGTTGAGACAGAGTCTCACTAACTTTTTTGATGGGGCTAACCTCAAACTACAATCCTTTCGATCTCTACCTAAGAAGCTGGAATTACACACCATGATTGGCCCTTGACATACTTATCTTGACACACATATACATAGTAATTATTAGAGCAAGCAACTAAGCATATCATAGTCTTCCTTCTCTTCTCTCCTTTCTCCCTTCCCAATACACTCTATACTTTAATTTTCACATGGCATATTTGATTTCGTAGACATACTCATTCTACATAAATATAACTATGACCTCTTCTATCTACATCTTCCCATCATGACTCTCAACCACTATTTTAATCTCTATTAAGTTCCATATATAAATTATGTCATATGGAAACAAGAGACTTCTTTTTTTTTCCTTCAGCTTTTAGCTTTTGATGATTCTGTCTTTTTTACCTTATATATGGTGTATTCATGTGTATAACTTTGGGAGGATGGGGAGGAAGATATAGAACTAGAGGGAAAAAAGGTGAAAAAGTACAGGAGCAGAGGGAGCTCACTGGACATTGATGAAAGTGAACTATACAAGTTGTGGGTAGAGATGGGAGGGAAGGCCTGGGAGAGAATGACCAAAGGAAATGTATTCATTACTTGACTCATATAACTGTAAACCCTCTGTACATCACCTTTTTATTTTATTTATTTACTTTTTATTTATTTGCTGGTCCTGAGCCTTGAATTCAGGCTCACAGATCCACTTCCAGCCTTTTCTGCTTATGTGGTACTGAGGAATCAAACCCAGGGTTTCATGCATGCTAGGCAAGCACTCTACCACTAAGCCACATTCCCAGTCCGACATTTAACAACAGTAAATTAACTAAATTTTTAAAAATTGATGTCATGTAGTAATTTTCTATTTAATACATCAATTTAGCATGTTAACTAGGTTCAACCAAGTTGTTACAAATGGAAGAATCTCTTTCATAAGGCTAAATTATGCTCCTGTATATATGAAAGCCTTGTTCATCCATTCATCTATGGATATCATTTGAGTAATTTCCTATCTTGACTACTGTAAATAATGATGCAAAGAGCGCAGAAGTGGGATAGCTTTACTGCTTGCTTATATGTTAGTTACAATACTTGTTAACTTCTTTGGGCACTCTTACACCATTTTCCATTGTGGTTGCACAATCTTACACCCATCACTAACAGTTTCAAGAGCTCCTTTATCTTTACTTGCTATATTTTCTTTTTGATAAGTTATTTTAACAAGCGTGAAATGACATCTGTGTAAGTTTAAATTCCATTTCTCTGATTTTTAGTGTTTGTAAGCTTTCCACATGCCTGTTGGTAATTTGGTTTGTCATCTTAGAAGCAGTGTTTATTCAGGTCTTCTGTTCATTTTAAATCTAGTTTTATTTTTTCACTGTTGTTTTCAGTTTAGGTGATAACTAAAAAAACAAACAAAAAACTGTCTTCATTAGCTAGCATAGTGATAATGACATGACTATAGTCTCATATACTCCAGAAACCTCTGAGGCAGGAGGATTGCTTCAACCCAGGATTTCATGGCTAGGAACAAGATCCCATCTCAAAAACTAAATAACCAAAATGTGGTGCCTAGGCATCAGTGACTCCCACCTGTAATCCTAGCTACTAAGAAGGCTGAGATCTGAAGATCACAGTTTGAAGCCAGCCCAGGCAGAAAAGTCCTCATGAGACTCTTACCTCCAATAAATCACTCAAAAACTAGAAGTGGCACTGTGGCTCAAAGTGGTAAAGCACTAGCCTTAAGCACAGAGAGGCTCAGGGACAGAGCCCAGGCCGAGTTCAAGCCCTACAACTGATGAAAAAACAAAAAACAAAAACAAAAAACACTATAAGCACTCCTATAATATCAGTTACATGGGAGGTAGAGACAAGAGGAAGGGCAGTTCAAAGCCAGTTAGCAAGAAATCTACCTTAGAAGCAAATTTTAAATGTTAAAAAATAGTGCCAAATGCAAGATCAAGGTTCAAAGCCAGCCTGGGCAGAAAAGTTCATGAAACCCCTTCTCAATGTAGAGCTGGGTGCAGTAGCATGTACCTGTCATCCTAAGCTAATTGAGAGGTTAAGACAAAGAGGGTTCAAAGTGCAGACCTGTAACAGAAGAAAAGTCCTTGAGACTTCAACTCAACAGAGGGAAGTTAGATGCAGTGTCACAGGCCTGACAACCAAGCAATGGTGGGAAGCCTAAAATAGGCCTAAAATAACCAGTGGAAAATGGGGATGGAGATCTTACTCAACAAGAGAACACCTGTCTAGCAAACACAGTCTCTGAATTCAAAAATTTTAGTACTGCGTCTCACTCCCTCAAAAAGGGGTGGAAGGAGTTGTGGCTTAGCCATAGAGCACCTGCCCAGTAAGCCCAAGCCCTAAATTTAAAATCCCAGTATCACGGAAGCCTACACTAAAAATATTTAAAAGTAAATAAAAGACCAGGCATACCAATTAAAATCATCACACCTGAAATCCCAGTTATTCTGACAACAGAAACCAGGAGGAACAAGTTTGAAGTCAGTCTAGGCCAAAAGTTAGCAAGAAACCATTTCAAGAACAACAGTAAAACCAGGATGTGATGGCAACCACTTATAATCCCTAACTGGAAGATTGCCATCCAGTATGGAATGGAAAAACACATGAAATACCAGGTACCAATGACTCATGTATACTCAGAAGGCTAAAATATAGAGGACTGAGGTTTGAAGCCAGCCTGGGCAGAAAAGCCTGAGACTCCACCTCCAAATAACCAGCAAAAAACTGGAGTGGAGGCATGGCTCAAATGGTAGAACATCTGCGGTGAGCAAGAAAGCCAAAGGATAATATAAAGCATTGTTCAAGGGGCCCCACTGCCGCAAAATAACTAAAACAAAAAGGTCTGGGTATGTGTTCTCAAGTAATAGAGCACATTCCTAACAAGCACAAGACCCTGAGTTGAAACCCCAGTACTTCCATTTAGTTTTTTGTTTGTTTTTTTTTGGGTCCGGTCGTGGGGCCTGAACCCTGGGCCTGGGCGCTGTCCCTCAGCTCTTCAGCTCAAGGCTAGCGCTCTACCCCTTGAGCCACAGCGCCACTTCCAGCTTTTTTCTTTTTGCTTATGTGGTGCTGAGGAATCGAACCCAGGGCCTCATGCATTGCAAGGCAAGCGCTCTACCACTGAGCCACCTTCCCAGCCCCCAGAACTTCCATTTAGGAAAACAAAAATAAACCAATAGGTTTATTTTACGATTTCCATGTTTAATCTTTCAATTTTTAATAGAAAATTTGTCTCATTTCAGAATGGTGTACCAACTTTAAGTTAACACAAATTTTCAAATACTTGGTAAAATAGTTTAAGGACTTGAGCCAGGCATTGGTGGATCACACCTGTAATCCTAGCTACTCAGGAGGCCTGGGCAGGAAAGTCCGTGAAACTTATCTCCAATAAACCACCAGAAAACCAGAAGCGGTGCTGTAGCTCAAGTGTCAGAGTGCTCACTTTGAGCTGAAGAGCTGAAGGATAGAACTCAGGCCCAAAGTTCAAGCCCCATGACTGACCCAAAAAAATGTTTAAGGACTTGAAAGCAACAGGCTTTTAAATTCAGAACTATGCTCATTCTCTCTGAAAAAAATATGAAAAACATAACTACTATGTCCTAGTACAAAGTTAGCCCAATTAGCTGTTTGTTCCTCTAAGGTGTTTTATATGTATATATATATATATATATATATATATACATATAAAACATCTCTGTATACTTCTATATAAACATAAATATGTATACATGTATATACACATATATACTTTTCCCTGGGAAAATCTGTTCTGAAAATCAGTGTTTTCTTTATTTGAAGGAGTAATAGAGGACAGGAGAGAGTAGTGGAAGTTGAAAGATAAAGAGCAGATGATAAACAACCTAACCTTTTTCTTTTTTGGCTAGTGCTGGTGTTTAAACTCAAGGTCTCTAGCTCAGCTTGCTTGCTGGCAATCCACCTCTTGAGTCATACTTCTAGTCCAGCTTTTTGCTGGTTACATTTGGAGAGGGAGTCTTGCAGACTTTTCTTTTCAGACTGGCTTCAAATTGTAAACCCCAGATCTCACATATGTAATCTTCAGTAACTTGGAGTATAGACATGAGCAACCACCACTTGGTGCCAAACTCCCTTCCCTTTTATGTTTTTGTTGTTGTTATCATTGTTTTTAGTGCTGGGCATCAAACCCAGGGCCTTGTATATGTTAGATAAGCACTCTAATTGAGCTACATCTTCATTCATAAGACTCCCTAAAAATCTACCTCACCAGGTATCAGTGGCTCACGCATGTAATCCTAGCTAGCTACTTAGAAGGCTGAGACCTAGAGAATTAAGGTTTGAAGCCAGCTTAGACAGAAAAGTCATCAAGACTCCATCTCCAACTAATCAGCAAAATGCCAGGCTGGATGTATGGCTCAAGTAGTAGAGCATCAGCCACAGCAAGAAAGATGATAAGAAACTGCAAGGCCCTGAGGTCCAGCCCCACTACCAGCAAAAGCCAAAACACTCAACTCCAACGTTGCCATAATCCTCCCAACACTTCAATTTTCACCTTACTTTTTTTTTTGTCAGCTGTGGGGCCTGAAC